GTTTGCCATAGCCTTTACCAGGTCGGACAAAAAGTCAGCTTGACTTCAAATAGCATATTGAAGACTGGCTTTTTCTTACTGAGTCAGTTGGGGGCAGAGCAGAATGCACCTGGATTTTTGGCCCACTTGTAGGCCAAATGACATTACCATCCTTTGGCCCAAGGATGGTAATGTCATTTAGTAGATCAGCTGAATACTGGGCCATGTGGGTGGTCAATTAAGCAATGACTGAGTCGTATCATCATCTAAACCACTGACCACTGTCTGTTAAAGATCAGTTGTTTCTTAGTGGATATTTTTCATATCAGAATTGTCATGGTTTGGACTTTGTTTCGTGTATTTATGTTGTTTTTCCCCTGTCTTGTCCTGCCATTCTGCCACATCACCTTAATCAGCCATCATTGCATCCACCTGCCACTCATTACCTCCCAGTCTTTTCATATACATATATATATAAAGTTAGGGATGAGGATGGTTCATTCCCACTCCATGTTCATATACAGTATGCAGGATATGAAGCAGCATACATTAGGAAAAAGTCTTCTCCACTAATTATTTTAACACCCAAAAATGTTTCATTTGTAATTACTGTTAAACAAGTTAAAACCTTTATATACACTATCAATAGACATTACAGTATTTAATATATACAGTTTTTAGACCATTTGGCCAGTAAGTCTTAGGTTCAGTACATTTTCTGAGGACACAATCAATGCAGTGGCTATGCTGATATAAATAGGTAAATCATGCATAAGCATGGAGAGCATGCTGGCACAGATCTGAATTAGGTGATGAATTAACTTAGAGTTCAGTAGTCAAATTGGTACTGAATTATTTGATCAAAGCTAGCCAGCTATGATGGAAAAGTGTTTATACTCCACACTGTTCAAATAATCAAAGGATTATGGCATAAATCCCATAGCTGATGGAGACAGGTCTACATTTCCTTAGAGAGGAAGGAAAGTGGAGAGTATGAGCATTATTTTTGCAGTTAGCTTTTTTAATGGGTAACAGTGATTTACTACTGTTCCAAGATCTTTCACATTCAGGCTGATGTGTAGTTGTGTAGATTGCTACAAATTTCTATTATTATATCATGCGGTCTCTTTTCACTATGCAAGAGTTGTGTTTTGGCAATTTGCTTTTTTTTATACCAAATCATGCACTAATTTGGTTCTTTTAGCTTGTGCACCTGAAGAGGATAATTTGCTTTTGCACTGCAGTCTGAGTGAATTTGGCTTCAGTTCTTCCATCACTAGAGTGATATGTAAATGAATTAAACCACATTGTTGTGGGACAAAGCATAATCACAAACACACTCAAGGACCCCCCCAGTGGAGAGAGTTGATGTTTAACCACAGAAATCCATAATACTTCCAGCCCTCAGTGGACTGAAGCCCCTGTCATTCCCCGAGGTCCCTGAGAGAAATGAAGCTGTGTAGTGTTGATATCTGGCCACCTTTGATTCTCCAGGGCCCCAGAAGTCTACTTGCCATGTACAACCTGAAATTTGGCCCACATGAGACAAGGACTCCACTGTTGCCTTCATCCCAGGCAGTAGTGCAAACACCATATTATACAGCAGAGGCTCGGTTAAAAGCAAGTAGGGTCTCCCTTTTTTATGGAAGCTGTCTCATGGCTGTTAGTGAAAGACTTTCATATGCTCCCATCTATTCTATAGTTTCATTTTCTTTTCTCACTTCCTGTTGTGCTCTGAGTCTGTTTTTCTCAATGTCCTTACAACTTGTAATCAGTCATTTTCTCCATTGTTGTTGCTGCACTGGCTATGGAAAGTAATTGGGCAAATTTAAAATCGACAGCCAAAATATCACCATCTGTTGGAGACATAGGACGTGTTCATGTAGAACCAATACTGGCAGCATTTCTAACTTCTTTGTTGGTCTTCCTAGGTATTTCTTTAGTGTTCCTCATTCTTTCTTGCCATTGAGAAGACTTCTTTCTCATAACACACCATTAACAACCCAGTCTCACAGCAAAATGTATCATAGCTATGTTGGCCTGCAACAGAAAACATAGTAGTCTCACAATAACGCGTCCAAAATTGTGACATTGCAACAGTTTGTGGATCAAAAATTGTGACATGGCAATGTCTTTCTTGTAGCAAAAATGAAAAACTGATTACATTTAGGCACACAAACTACATGGTTAAGGA